CTTTACTCTTTTGGATCTTTTTTAGTTCTTTCATAGTTGCCCTTCTCATTCCTAGTCTTCTGATTTCTCGACTGCCATCCCCTTCCTAATCGATGTCTGATCCAAGGTGCAGGAACTCTTTAACTATTTCACTTTCCTGCTTGTCTAGGTTGAATTTATGTAGTTCCTCCATGGTAATTAGTTTTTGTTTTCTTTACATCCAGCATTAATCCTGACTTTGCACTTTCTTCTCTGCCCTTCCCTGTGCTATAATAGCATATCCAAGTAGAGAGCCCACATAACCGTGAAACTAGAAAAGTAACTTAGAATATTTAACAGCATAGGGGGGGAAAAACTGATGACACCTTTTGCGGCATTGTGTCATAAGACAACTTGGTTATCCCCTAGTTATTGCAAAAAAGGACTTCATTACTAGTAACCCATTATGTGGAATAAATAATTTCCAATCTTCGTGAAACTTCAGTCTCCCAGGGGGGTTGTGGGCTTTTCTTTTTTCCTTTCTCGATTCCCATGGGCTTAATTAAAGAATATTTCCTGTTAGGTCTCCCCAGCCGCTCATTACAAAACCCTGGAGTTTCTCTTTGCTCTGTGGTGTTCTTTAAAGTGGGACAGCGCTTGTTTCCACAACACACACAGAAATGCTTCTGAGTCTCGAGTCCTGTTTTGATTTACACCTGGGCCACATTTCTTTGGAATCTAGCAGCGATCCAGATCTGGACAAGTACATATGCTAATAAAGAAACACTCATCGATTTTATTCAGTGAAAGCGGCCGCCTTTTAGAGAATATGACGTCAAAGACATGCACAGTGCTTACATGTGATTTGTCATGCAGCTTTGAAAAAAGAGAATGGATCATCTTTTCAGCAAAATGACTTTTGAAAAGAGAACGAAACCAGGAAAAAAAGGGAGGTAGAGGTGAATAATATGAAACAGGCACAAGCTAGAAATAAATACAGTGGGTCCTCTACATTTGCTGGGGTTAGGGGTGGAGGACCCTGTGAATGTAAATAATAAAAAAAAAACTTTTTATTTAACTTGAGAGAACACCTCTCTAGGAATTTCTAGGTTCTCCAGTGCAACTCTGTGATCAAAATCTGCTGGAAATTGACCCTAGAATTGCATTGGAGGATCTACAAATGCCAAGAAAAATGTTTTCTCTAGGTCCACTGACATGGCTCTGTGGTCAATTTCTGGCAGAGTTTCGCTGGAGGACCTAGAGATTCCTAGAGAGAACCTATTAATCAATTTCGCAAATAATCAAATCTGCAAATAATCAAATCCTCAAAAATCAAACTTTAAAGTTTAAGAGCTGCTCCCTCCCCACCGCAATAAAAGTTATTTGGAATGGTGTAGTCCAATAAAATAAAATACAAGAGCAGAAATGAGCCAGTGAAACACAATGCAGTGATACAATGCAAAATATTTCGGTGGCAATGAAAAGGGGGAAAAAAGAAAACAGCAAGAAGAATAAGCAAGAAAAAGACAAGCAGCTCACGGTGGGGTGAGGAAAGGATTAGTAGCCAAAATTGAAGGCATGCCAAAAAA